CCTCCCTGTTCATCACGGCCGCCGCAGCAACAACAACAACATCCGCAGGAACAAGGAGCAGAGGGTGAGTTCCAAATCACCTTCGCCCCTGGTGTCCCACGGGCGTACGCACTAGACGAGACCCACACCTTTCAATCCGCGCTTGACATGCACCACAGCATGGCCAAGAAGAGAAGGAAAAAAAGTAGCCGGAGCAACCAAAATGCGGACAGTAACTCTTCCACCGCTGGCGATCCAGGCATCGTAGTGCTACCGTGTGGTCACCTCCTGCACTTCCTCTGCGCTGTCCAGCTTTACGAATACAAAGAAGGAGCGACATGCCCCATATGCCGCCAGCCGCTCAAGAGTACCGCAGACTTTGTGCTCTTCTCCCCTCGCCGGTGGCCGGGATCGACTCCGCAGGGCATCCAAGTGGATGAGTGCACTAACACAAGTGATAAAGGCAGCGATGACAGCAGTGACGATGTGCAGTTTACCGGCGAGCGGCGTCTGGCCGCGGTGGACGCATACGAGCGCCTTATTCGGCGCAACACTGACGAACTGAAGCAGCGACGCCGGAACCTCAGAGGCCGCGAGCAGGACCTGGCGAGCAGCAAGGAGCAATTGCTGGACCGGTGCCTCACACTGGAGCAGTCGGCCGCCGACGCCCGCCGCCGGTGCGAGGTGCTAACGCAGCAGGGGGCAGTTGGACTTGAGCGATTGGTGGAACTCCGCAACGTGGCACGTGAGACGCACGCGTCAGTGAACCTCATGACCGCTGAGCTCGCGACACTGACGCGCCAGCAGGGCGTGCTTGACCGTCAACTCGAGAAGTACAGTCAGAAGCTGCGTTGCTGCAAATCGGGCCGTCGTAGTGACACTACAGATGGAGAGGTGGATGCACCGCGGGGAAGTGGTTCATCTGCACCCCTCCAGAAGCGGCGGCTGAGACGCCTGGAGGGTGGAAACATGCTGTCGTATTATGTCTCGCATAACTGAACGTGCGGGTGCTTGCTTGGCATATGCGCGCATTGGTAAAGGCAGCGAGGCCAAACTACACTGAGCATAGCCCGCGTTCTCAGAAAGGTGTTTGCTGTTGTTGTTGTTGTTGGTGTTTTCCGTTTGGTGCCGTGGCGTGTTCAGTGTTGCTGCACCGGGACGATTTATACATACATATATGTGTATGTGTGTGTGTGTGTGGCGCAGAGGTGCCGCAACCAGCAGAACTGGAATTCTTCCTTTTTCTTGTCTGTGTGTGTGTCCTGCTCCNTGTGTGTGTGTGTGTGGCGCAGAGGTGCCGCAACCAGCAGAACTGGAATTCTTCCTTTTTCTTGTCTGTGTGTGTGTCCTGCTCCGCCTCTCCCTCTCAAGGAAAGTATCGTCTTCTACGAGGGCCGTGTCTGTGTAGGATGCGCTTGTCTACCTGCCGCATATTCCTGTTCTCTGTTGTTGTCGTTGTTGTTGTTTTTTATGTTTCTTTGTGTGTCGTTCCGTTGTTGCTCCTTTCTTCGCTCGCGGGGAGAAGCGGCGCGGGTATGCGAAGTGTCGAACCGAAGAATCCATGCGGCGGTGGGTGCATCTGTGAGTGTGTGTGTGTGTGTTGCTGCCGGGTAATTGATGGGCTTTGTATGCACCAGATATGGCTTCATTTGTGTATTTGTTTGTTTATTTGTCTGCTTGTTTGTTTTCTGGGCTTTCTTCAGCGCTCGTTACGGGGACACCACAGAAGGAGGCGGTCATACATGGCTCGACCAAAGGACGACAGGGACGCGCGTCGGGAGGAGGAAGAGGAGGAGGAGGAAGAAGAGGAGGAGGAGGAGGAGGAAGAAGAGGAAGAAGAAGAGGAGGAATGGACAGAGTTGAATGAACTTGAGGAAATTGAAGATGGCCCCAGCACGTACTACGTGGGTGCGTTCAGTACCTTGCAGAGGCTCCAAGACGCCTTGGACGTCGTGAAGTACCGCGAGGACGTGGTGCTCGTCTACCCCGGCGCGTACACGGAGGCGCAGGTGAAGGTGGACGAGACGCGACTCGATGGCCTGCGTGTGATGAGCGTGCCGATGGCGATGGGGCCGAAGGGCGGGTACCGCAAGAAGGTACGAATCCCTAAAGACCAACGCCGCATGGGCCCCTGGTTTGCCCCATTCGGTAGCGATGCGCCCAACACCGAAGCCGTTACTCCCACCGCATCCGACCCGTTGCGATTCCCCGTGTTTGAGGGGAGGCTGGTGCTGCTCAACAGTGGGCCCTTCGCCCATCGCGATGGCGACGGTGGGGCGGTGCCGAAAGTGGCGCCCATCAGACACTACGATCCTCGCGAAGACGCCAGAGACGAGGAGGAAGACGAGGAGCCTGAAAAGGAGCCGGAAGCCGAGGAAGAAGAAGAAGATGCTCAGCAGCAGAAAATTAATATCACTCGTCTAGAGATGCAGGGTTTGTGTTTTCTTGGAGGAGCCTCTTTTGAGCCTCTCACTCGAGCCACAGTGCGTCACTGCGTGTTTGGGGATCGGGTGGTTGAGCAGCAGACCGAAAAGTCAAATGGGGCGGTGGAGACTACTCCCTCGCCCTCACCATCATCATCATCAGCACCGCCCTCATCCTCATCGCTCGTGACGACCGTGATGGGATGCCCCCTAACGGAGGTACAGATGGAGTTCTGCGTCATCTATGGACGCCAGCAGCACGCTTTATACGCTCTTCCACGATGTGCGTTGCGCGTGCTAAACTCCATTATTCTCGGCCCGCAGCTGGGCCTTGCAGCTCAGGTCGAGCAGGTTCAAGTTCGTGCGGCTCGCCATGCGCAGCAGAGTCCCATTCTCCGACTCGCACATCGCTGGAAACACATCTTGGATCAGGCGCAGATACCGACGACGACGACGTGCGAAGTGGGTGTATACCTGGATGACGCAGATGTAACGCTGCAAGACTGTTTCGTGGCGCACACCAGCATTGGCATTTTGCTATTGGGCGGTTGCGCCGGCACTCTGGTGAGTGCGGTTCGCACAGAGAGCCACAGCACCGTTGGCATCCTCCTCTCTGGTGAGAGTGGGGCGGCAAAGATCAAATGTTGTATGGTGCGATGGTGTGGTCGGGAGTGTCTGCTTGTCAAGGGCCCGGTGCCCCCAGAGCTGCCGAACCCCGTGCCTGCAGAGAATGATGCTGGGAGCCTTGCTGCTGCGTATACCGAGAATGCCAATGATGACGACGAAGAAGAAGATGAGGAGAGTGCGGTGAACGCCGTGCCGCGTCTAGCCATACCAGCGCAGCACCCCATCCTGCGCAGCAACGCCTTCGAGGGTAAAGTGCGTCTGGAAGAAGACGTCAGGTGTGGGGCGATGTGCGACAACGTGATCTACGTCCCGAAGGAGGAGGCCGCGGTGGATGATGTGCCGCCGCTGGTGGGCCCAGCAGCGGAGAAGCGGTTCGCGCTGAAGGGGTTTCACATCCACGTGCGGGGCAGCACACCGCGCGAGAACGACGATGACTAGATCATCGCTGGCAGCTATGGACAGGCAGCCGACGTCTTTTTTTTTTTTT